TTTTAATAATAAAAACACCCAATAATGGTAGGCCTTGAGGGTAATTCCTTATGAAATCACTAAATATTTCCCGAATCACCCTCAGATTCTAGTTCTAGGCATGGAACGGGAACAATCTAACCCAGTGGACGAAATAATGGGTTCGGTTCGAAATTCCAATATCACCTGAAGAATGCCGGAGCGTAAAACGCTCGAAACATCGCGTGAATATATCAATAAAGACGAGAACAACAGTCTGAACAATGTAAATAAAGAAAGACTAATTGACTGAAATAGTGAAACCGAAACGTAATCTCGTCACAATTTGACATTGACAAATACAACTCAGGCTTCAGAACAATCGGATCACCATAATTGAATTATTGAAGAAGGTTATGTTAATAATACTTCATTTACCGTTAATTGTAAGTTGAATTGAAATAAATTGTTTATTGAAGGCGGATCAAGCCCAGTAGGCAATATTTTTGTTTAAATTATTAATCGTCATTTTTAGTTTCATTGTCAACCGGTTTTTTTTTATTTAGGATCGTGGGCCTGATTAATGCAAAGTCAAACCTTTTTCCTCCCCCCAATAGAATTTGGGAATGTGACCTGGAAAATTTTCAAAAATTGCGTGATTTTATATTGACTGAACAGTATGGATGGAATGTGCTGTTTCTCTACAAATGTTGACTTTTCTTGTACAAACATTTCGTGCTTTTATTTTTATACGCTCAGACAACATATGTAAATTAGTAAATATAATTGTCTTAGTTACAATCGACTAAAAAGTAAAAAGAAATGAAAAATAACACATTTAGTGCCAAGTGACTAAAATTAATAAATTTTATTTGTTTATTTTTACACTTCCGTAAAATTCCAGTAAAGTTCTGACCTTCTAAAAACTGATAAGATCGAAATAATACGTTTTAATTGAAAAATAAAACAAAAAATTACCTCGCGGGAGGTTTACAAAAAAAATTAAATACATTTTCAAATTTACTTACCTGCCAAAATGTTTTTAAAAGAAAAGAAACTTCATTAAGTTTTCATATTACATCAACACTTTCGCTAATTTCTTTCTTAGCTATGTCTTTTTAAAAATAATTGTTAACTTTAAAATTGCAAAAATATACTATTTGTTTTTGTTTTTAACTACAAAAATGATAAAATTGCCGCCATGTGATTCTTTCCGGAAGTGGATCTTTCAAACCGGAAGTCTCACCACGTCACGCGACGGAAATACAGAAATCTCGCGCGTGACTCAGACATTCTTCTTCTTTCACTAAATTTATAAAATAAAAAGAAATAAACAAACATTAGAAAATATAGAAAGAATAGATCTATTGTTTCTTTGATACGAGCTTTTCTTAAAATGATTCAGAAGACATATTTTTTAAACTAGTTACTAAAGTAGGCAGAGACGTAATAATATCCTTCTAAAAATTAAATTTTAAATAATATTCTTTTATGGAGGGTTTTTAAAATTTAAATTATTAATTTATTTTAAAATTACAATAAATTACATTTTTATTTTTTTTTCCATTTGGCGTGTACAATAGCATGTGTTTTTTTGTTTGTTTGTTTTTTTTTTAGAAATTTTTTTACTAGATATGTGTATATAGAAAAATAAACCCCATAATACCAACGATCAGTCTTGTGAAATTTGCGAAACTATAGTTTTTTTTATCATTTATTTATTTTTTTTTTTTTTAAACTAAGCAATTAATAAAAATGCGTAGTGTAGCTCTTTGACATAAAAGAAAGAAGCCACAAAAAATGCTACATGCTCATCCGGTAAAAAAAGTTTCTTTTGTCGTCCAATTAAAATTAAATTAACTGAGAAAAAACAAAACATTTATTTTACAATAATAATGCACACTTTTCACATAGAACGGTATTTAATTTCGTGTACTTGTAAAATCTGCGAAACAGTAGCAGCATTATTGCTCAATTGGTAAAGAAAGACTTATTGTTTTAAAAGCTGTTTTTCGTGCGTCGTACCTGCTCGGTCAGTTGGAAAATTCGTCTGTTGCCACACACTGGAAGATAATTACAAGCAATACCAGTAGGTAGGGTTAAACAAAAAACTTATCTATGAACACTGAACACAAAAAGAATGTTATAGCCAACAATTTATCAAAGACATTTAGTCATACGCTACACAGAAATAAATTCAACCATAATATCAATCTAAAAAAAATGCCCACTTATTAAAATGGAAAGTCTAGAAAATTCTTGAGATTGCAGCTATTTTTTTTACTAAAATATAAATCTAATCTTTGTTTTTGTTTTTTTTTAAATATCTTCTTTCCTAAAAGAAATAATTCTTTCCCAAGCCAACATACATTTTAAAAATTAAAAGAAAATTCTTAACGTCAAAGCCTATTATCTATATAAATAAATGTGAATGTCAGTGTGTTAAATAATTTTTCAACTTTATCTTTAATGAGGCCATAGCCCAATGTATCATACCATTTTGGAACCAGTCTGACTCCATGAGCAAATTAATTAAAACATTCTGGGCTGGATTTGGACCCACAATCCTGAAATTTTAGATTCCAATATTTTCATTAATGGATTTATGTTTTTCGCAATGAATTTAAAGACAGTTTGAAACAAAAAATAAAAACAATACTTTCTGTAAAAAACAATTATTTCTGTTTTATGGATAACGATTTACTGGATTTTTGCAATTAATTTCAATTATTCACAAATTTATTTCCAAGTTATAAAAATTGTTAACATAAAAAAAATTGTTACTTCTTTTTATAAATACATGTTGCAGAATAAACTCTTTACATCTCCATCAGAGGATGAAACATGTTAGCTATGAAAAGTTTTCCTTTTTACTTTATTCATATTGTCTTTTCACAAAGATATTTTTAGTTATATCTGAAATTTTGTACACATCTAAATTCACATATATTCATTCATCTTGCGGCCACAGCCAAGACTGAACTCACCAATACTTTGATTGGTGTAGTTGATAATCTTGTCAAATAGCTGAATTTTTGATGCTTCGCTAGGGCTATCAAGGGTGTTTTTTTAAATGACACCAACACTAAATGGATTGCCAACCAAGGCTCAGAGAGACTCCATTCACCCTCCTCTAAGAGCAGGTTTGAATTCAGAGTTTTCCTTCTCCTAGACCAGTTGCCATCCAAGGCTATAGAACCCAGTCTGTCCTGCTATTTACCCATAGCTGGAGGGAGAAGAAAGAGGATTCACACCTTTCCCAAGGGTGTTAGCACGTAAGTGAATGTAATGGATCCGACTGGAATTCAAACTCGGCTCTCCGATTCCTCAATCCAAGCCGCTATCCATTACTCCACCATGCCTCATATATATAGGTACCTCCAAAGGAAAGCAATAAGGTTTAAAATGAATTTTTAAAAATGAAAAATCTTTCGTGAAGCTTTTATTTTAGTTTTAATTTCAAGCTAAGTGATTTAATTCAATATTTCCTATAAGCAAAATACTTTGCTGTATTTCAAACCAAATTTAAATTGATTGGAATGTTTTTTCAATTGCTAAAAAAGGCTGATTGTAGTCATATTTACAGATTTCTTAGCACAATATAATTCTCTTTATTAAAAACTTTTTCAAAAATAAAATATATTTTCTGAAACTTACTATTCCACTTGCACTTGAAAATTGGTTTTGTCCATTGAGTTAGAACTCAGTCTATATCTATTATAAATCTATTTATTTATTTAATTATATCTATTATAAATCTATTTGCCTGGTAAAGCAATATCCGGAAGTGGTCCAGAGACTATGATCATATTGTAGTATCTGTTTCGCAACCATGACCAGCTAAGACAAGCCTTGTTCCCAATCACACACAAGTGGGAGCTGGGTAAAAATTGACCAATATTTTGACCAGCGACCCAAGTGTATGTGCTCAGGTTCCCCATGTTAAATAACTGACTTTGTGTCACATTCTGCCTCCCACCAAGTGGGGCTGGGGGTAAATACCCAGGATTATATCAACATTTGTAGCAGAACATAGAGCAGTAGAAGAAAACAAACAATCAAAAAAGCCCTGACCTCAGTAGATTATAAAAATCCACCAACTTTTGACGATAATAAATCCTACATCCATTGGAAAACAGAAGTCAAGATGTGGTAGTTTGCGACCTAGACAAAAGGGAGCATTGGTATTAGCACTCTCAATACAATCATAGTAACAAAAAAGATTTTTCACAACCAGCATTATAATCAAGTTTGAGGGACTCTAGGCTGCAACCTATATTAACTAGCTTAATGGATAATCTGGTCTACTCGATTGCAATTTCAATGGAAAGTGTTCAGATGAACTACATTCTTTAGTTCCACCAATTCTAACCTTCATGACTATGACCTGTCATGCCACTTTGTAGCAAACCGCCCTCATTCTCTTCTTATTTTATTGATGAGAAGCAAGTTCCACTTGAACAGCTTCTTTCCACAAACTGCTATTTTGTGGAACCAACTCCCAAGAGGATGCTTTCCCAATCACTACAATCTTAAACTGTTCAAGTCTCAGGTTAACCATTATCTTCTCCACTTATCGTCACTCTTCCCATAAATTGTACCTCTTAGCTCTTACTTTGTAGCCCTCTACTTTCAGTGACTCTTGGGCCTTATACAAGGTGAACATTATTGTAAAAATATAAATCAATAACATCAACGAGTCAGTAAAACCACTATAGAAAGGTAACTCATAAAGATACAATTAATAACTTGACAATAGTTTTATTATTGTTTAATGATTTGTTTTTTAAGGTATGTCAACCCTTCAAAAGTTATTTGAAGCCAGAAAATATTTTCCAATTGTAACAATTTTCTTTTTCTTTGGAGATAATAATGGTTTAGTGATACAAGTTTTACTAATTAACCCACAGCTGGGGGAGAAGATGAAGATTCATACCTTTCCTGTTAGAGAATATAACAAACCCAACTGGAATTGGAACTTGATTGTTAAATTAACAATTCTGAGCCATTATACATTACACTACCTGAGCATCCAAGCTTAAAGCACCTGGTATTCTCAAGTAGTCACTCATCTAGGTACTGACTAGGCTCGATATTGCTTAACTTCAGTGATCATATGGGAACTGGTGCTTCAACATGATGCAGCCATAAGACCAACAATAGTTTTGATTTTTGGAAGCTGCCATCAAGATCCCAAATTCAGTTCTTCATAAGAAGGTGAAATAATATACTGACTGAGAGACTGGCTCAAAAACAACAAAGATGAAGATACTAGTCTCAAAATGGATCATATAAGAAAAACTCTTTTATCACAAGAAAAAATTTGATACAAAATTAAAATTCTTGCTTTATATTTTCCAAATATTTTTTAAACTTAGAATTTGACTTTAGAATTAATCAAATCTTTCTTTTTTGTTTTTTTTTTACTTTAGTTCACCCAATACAAGGCCCAAGTGCCACTCTAGGTAGAGGGTTACTGAGTAAGATTATTTTAAGAGAGGAGGAAGAAGTTCATGTTATGAAAATATAGATATCATACATAGAACCTGGACTTTAAGAAGTTAAGATTGCCACCATAAAACTTAGTATAGCAGGTCCTAGCCATGAAGGTCTGAGTTGGTGCAACTAAGGAATGTAACTTGTTTGAATATTTGCCATAATAATAGTGATAGAGCAGTGAGAGGCTAGCAACCTTTCATCTATGGAGTGGAAAATAATTCATCACCCACAAGGCCGTGTAATCACTCTTTTAAAACAGAATTACCAATAAAAATGAAAAAAGTTTTTGTTTTTTGCTAATTGATCACCCAATACAAGGCCCAAGAACCACTCACGATAGACAGTTACACAATGAGATTGTTGTATAAATATAATGTTGTATATCTCCCCCTCTCATGCTGGGAAGTTAATGTCGCCAATTTAATACAATGCTGTATTCTTTCTCTCCTTTCTCGGCTGGGGTCGCAAAATGTTTTTATTCAGAGATAAAAAGCATCAACAAAGATAATTTGAACTTATCTATTTTATTAACATTTCCTAACTAACCAGTGGGTCACTCTCTCTCTCTCTCTCTCCACTGGAGAGCAGTTTCCAGCCACAAAAGTCAACACATCTACATTGCTTGATGTGTAAGAACCAACTCCCTGAAAACCCTTTCTCTATCTATCATTCCCACACTGGCTCAGCCAATCAAAATCAACTTCTTTGTTTTGTCATCTATCTGGCCTCAAAGGTCAGCCTCAGGAAGTCAGAACAATGATACAATTCCTCTAAAAAATAATAGTCTGCTAAATTATTATTTAACAATAAGAGAAAGAGGTAATAATTGCAGATTATAAGGATATGTAGAAAAGATAATGGTTAATCCTAGATTTGAAGAGGTTAATATCGTAGTGATCAGAAAAGTATCCACTTAGGAGTCTGTTCCACACAGTAGCAATTCTTGAAATGCTGTTCAAGTAGAACTTTCTTCTTTGTTAATGGAATACAAAGAAAATGGGATGATTTGTCCCAGTGTACATGACATAGCAGGTCATAGCAGTGAAGGTTTAAACCAGTTCTCTTTCAGATAACAAAGTTAAGCAGCATTGAGCCCAGTCAGTACATAGATGGGGGACTGCTTGGGAACACTGTAAGCAAACTCCTATAATCCAAAATCTGTTTCAGTTTTAAATAACCCAAAGAAAGTTGATAAACCATAAAAAACATACAAATCGGCAAGTCAACAACTATGATGGTTTAAAAGTAGGGTTTATCTTTTATCTCACAGAAAACAAAAACACAAGAGACAGAGGTACTAACTTAGATTACACTGCATAACTTAGATTACACTGCATAACTTAGATTACACTGCATAACTTAGATTACACTGCATAACTTCAAGGAGTAAAAAATGTTCCACTGCACAAAGATGGTTGACATCTAGAAATAAAAAGAGATTCCAGAATATTTGAGTAAAAAGACAGACATGCTTCATCTTGTCAGGTCAATCAGTTATGTGTCATGCATGATACATGCTTAGATGATCATGTATCATTCAATACATGACTGACGAGGTTTTTTTTCCCGCAGTAGGTTGCCATTTCTTTCTGTGGTAGACTAGTTGCCACCCAAGGCTATACAACCCAGTCTATCCTGCTATTTACCCATAGCTGGGGGAAAAAAGAAGAGGATTCATACCTTTCTCAAGAATATTAGCACCTAAGTGAATGTAATGGATTCAACTGGAATTTAAACTCAGCTCCTCGATTCCTCAATCCGAGCCGCTATCCATTACTCCACCAGGCCTCCCTGTCCTGTCAGGGCATATGCAAATATAGTTTTCTACAAACTCATTTTTTCTTTATTTCCTGTGAATTTCCATAGGAAAGATATTGGAGTAGTTTCCCATTGTCTTCTCCACAGTTGTAAATTCAAAATAGTTTCTTCTCGTAGAATTGTTACCACTGAAGGCCAGAAAACATAATTTTCACCTGATATTTAACCTAGAGCTGTATTGGTTTGGTTTGTTTTACGGCATATCAAAACCTCAATGGGTTATTTAATGCCGACAAAATTTTTATTGCTGGTAATGTTTTTCTTCAAAAATCTATTTCTGGGAATATTTTTCCTTAAAGAAATCTATAGCTGATAATATTTTTTCAAAGAATGTATAGCTGTTTGTATTGCTGGTACTTTTTTTTAAGTACTGCTGATAATAATTTTTCCTTCAAAAATTATTAGTGGTAATACCTTTTATTTTATTACAAAGTATTTCTAGTATTAAAACCTATTTTTACACAAGTTTGGATGTCAACTATTTGCCTATAGCTGTGGCCCTAACAGGTGCTACCACCCCAGGTCAGGGTGGACCTGGGAACACCAGCAATTAAGAGGTGGTTTCACAATCCTCAAAACCTCCTGATCAGAGGCCTTGCGGTTGGACGTAGTTTATTGTCTTACTCAGGACGTGGATGTAATTTATCATCATACCCAAATGCGGATGTAGTTTATCATCTTAACCAGGACGCGGATGTAGTTTATCGTCATACCCAGGACGGTAGAGCTGTATTGATTGTTTTTTATTGCTTATCAGCATTTTGCAGGTTATTTGAAGCCAGAAAATATTTTTAGGTTGCAAGAATATTTTAGAAATAATAATGATTTGCTGATACAAGTTCAGCTAATTAACCCCTAGCTGGGGAGGAGGGGAAGATGTGGATTCGTACCTTTCTCAACGGTATTTGCATGTAAGGGAATATAACAAACCTGACAAGAATTGGAACTCACCTCTTCGATTTCCAATTCCGAGCTGCTATCCATTACACCACCCGCACACCCAATCTTACACCTGGTATTTCTAAGCGATCATCCATCTAGGTATTGGTCAGGTTCGATGTTGCTTAAATTTGGTAGTCGTACAAGAATCAGTGTTTCAATGTGATATGGATGTAAGCACCTATGTGAATAATTAAATATCAGATGTGTAAAATTTGATGTTCGGTTAACTTGGATTTTCTCATTGTTTTTAATGCCATGTCTCTTTCAAACATATATAATCATGGCTCTCCACAGCTTTCTTTTCTATTATCTCTGTATTGTCATAACATTTTCTACAGTTTTGAAGCATCCTGGGCAAGATGATAAACTACATCCAACAGCAAGGCCTCTGATCAGGAAGTTTTGAGGAGCATGGAACCACCCTTTAATTGCTGGTGTTCCCAGGTCCACCCTGATCTGGGGTGGTAGCACCTGTTAGGGTCCCAGCTATAGGCAAATAGTTAACCCTCAAACTTAGTTCAAAACACTATGAAAATGTAAAAATAGATTTTAGTACAGTAATACATTTTTGTAAAAAAATTATTACCAGCAATGAAAATCTTGTCAGCATTAAATAACCCAGTGAGGTTGATATGCTCTAAAACAAACCAAACCAAACTATGGTTTTGAATTAAGAGTAATCCTTCAGCTGAGATAAAGACCATTCAAAGTTAGAAAGCCTAGTTTATCCTGCTATTTAAATCAAGACTAGGAGTAAGGCAAAAAGATGGAGTCCTACTTTTCCCAAGAGCATTTGTATATTACTCACCAGTGGCATGAAGTAGGTAAACCACTTCTAGTGGTGGACTACTTAGACGGCATATTACCCCCACTTACAATAGTATCCAACATATTTATGAGGATTGGGACATACCCATTAGTATTCATATCTATCTATCTATCTATCTATCTATCTATCTATCTATCTATCTATCTATCTATCTATCACAATATCTGCTCATATCTATCTATCTATCTATCTATCTATCTATCTATCTATCTATCACAATATCTATCACAATATCTGCTCATATCTATCTATCTATCTATCTATCTATCTATCTATCTATCTATCTATCTATCACAATATCTGCTCATATCTATCTATCTATCTATCTATCACAGTCTCTGATCATATCTATCTATCTCAGTCTCTTATCATATCTATCTATCTCAGTCTGGTCAAACCTATCAATGACTGTGTTATTACCTAGGAAGGGTTACTGAATGATGAATAACCAAAACGGAAGTTGGAAATGAAATGGTAAACTTTATAACATCAACAAAATACAATACTCATCAGCAGTGTAAAATAAGTAAACCACTACTAGTGGTGGACTACTTAGACTGCAACTATTTATGAGGATTGGGACATACCCATTAGTGTTCATCGGTACTGTATATAACAATTCTAGAGACACTCATGGGGCAAGTAAAAGTAGGTGATTCATTTTTTTTCTGAAAAATGGTTGCACCTTTGTTTTCTGCCATTTTCAAGATCCTTGTCTTTTTCCGTAATTGTAATTTCTTCCATTTTTCAATCGTAATCCTTTTTATCAGAAATTGTTACCCTGCCTTAATTTGTAGCTTTTTCATAATTGTTTAATAAATGTTTTTCATTTAAAATTTTAGGCAGTGGTTGAGTCTTTTTTTGTGATTTGTGTCTATTATGACTTCCTATTCCTACTAAGTTTTGTGTTTGACACAAGAATTTAGATTTTGTAGGGAATCAAATCTTTATAAGAATTCAGACTGAGAACTTTTCATTATTTCTGCCCATTTCCATAATTTTACTTAGAAGTTGTCTAAGACTACAAATTGCAAAACCAGTTCCATTC